ATTTCAATATGCATCCATAACACCTTAACGATATCGACAATGAATTATCAACACCATCGCAATTTCTTAGTTTGAAGTGATGATATTTTCACTTTGAATGCCGACCGTTAAAATTTATATTTTGAGTTCTTAATTGTTGTAGTGTCGTCCGTGCATCGATTTTTTACGAAGAATAAAGTTTATATGAATCGATGAGCATTAAACACTGATCGACATGGATCGGAATAATCCTTGAAATCATCGTAATAGAATGCTGTATCTATGAGCCATATTGACATGATATCTCCTAAAACGACTTCTGAAATCAACAGATTAATTGGTAAGAAGCTTATACAAGAACGTCYAGACCTCAAAAATCACATTTTGTGTGTTTAAAAATCCATATCTGTGTTAGGAACCGTGGATTCGATATAACTTCTGTGTTCTTTGGTTCTTTTATTGTGATCTCAGTTCTAACTTCTTCTACAAATCTGTTCGGCTTATATGTGCTACAATCARACAGTGTTTGGGTTTTATCTGGGGTATTAAAATTCACCCCACACCAATTTGCAGCCAATCCTTTCCTTTTCCTGGGATTAGAACTTTCTGGGAATGGTTGGTTTTGTCAGTCTGGTTTTGTGGCATCCCGTGAGGGATGTGCCMCTGGCTGATGGTACCACATATAGCTCTCCAATATAAAAGTATATCTACAAATACTTTCTTAAAACATCTATTTACCATTCTTCGTGATCCATGCTATTTGCCAGGCTGGGCATGGTTGGACGCGTGAACTACGGCGACTCCCGATCCTGGCCGATCTTCGTTCCAGGCGCGACCACCCATACCTAGCCTTGGCCTTCCCTAATCCACTTGTAACGTTTACTTTGCTATTACCAAAAGTCCTACAAAATGTCAGAATGGCGTCTCGTAACTAATCCACTTGTAATGTTTAAAGTTAAGCTAAATATTAAATTTCCTATATTTTAAATGTCATCTTAAATTTCAGCATAGCGCCTCGTAACATCTGTATCAAAACACCTGGCATCTTGGTTACGGATTTCTAAATTCCCGTATGTTTACAAAAAAAATAAGTGAACTATTAACTAGTCCACCTCACCTCACGCACCGTCATCTATCTCTCTCCTATAACTCTTCGATTGCTTCGCAATCTTTGAGTTAAAAATTACGTGGTGGGGGAGGGGGTAGARCGTAATTTATTTCGTTTACAAGGGGAGTTCCTAAGCTAGTAGACTTTATTTAATCCAGAAGTACTGATATATAAATAACCCAGATTGGACTTCTCAAAATATAAGCTCTCCACAGTTGCCTAACTTGTATTTTAATTGACTATTTTTTAATTATTTTTAGTGGTTGTTGTATTATTATCAATATTTATTCTTTTATTTTGAAATGACCATAATGTCATCATGATATATTTTCTTACAGAGCACTATTCAGTTTCAAAGAACTTACTAGCGCGTTTTATTGGCAAGCCACCTGCTGAACTGAACTCTATTTGATTCTCCTACATTGATAAGCATTGCGATGGCAACCGAAAATCTTACATTGGTAGCTAACTCATCATATTGCCCGGAGAGTTTTGTAAACAATTCGATAATCATAACATTGAATGTTGTTCTAATTGCTGTCAATGCTCCTTTTGCTCTTTTTGCCRTAGTCAGCAATGTCCTGATAATAGCTGTGATCGTAATATCGAAAGAGCTGCATACCACTCCAAATGTATTGCTATGCAGCCTGGCCATTACTGACTTGATGACAGGCCTGGCCACCCAGCCACTGATGATAGCATGGCGAGTCTTAATACAGCAAATGGAAACCACATGCGTCGGSGAGTTAGTGCACCTATTGTACGAGGCATTCCTTTTTATCTGGACAGGTGGATCATTTGCAAATCTTGCATATATTAGCTTCGACAGATTGATAGCCATATCACAACCATTGCGCTACAGCAGCAGATCAAACCCAAGGAAAGGGATGAKACGATTGGCCGTCATTTGGATTTCTTGGATTACTTTGGTTGTCTTGAAATATGTTATATTCACAGAATATATCAGTTATATTATCACTACAGCAATTGCCTGTCTCTTGGTTGGATTCCTTATTGTTACTCAGATAGCTACAATTGTGTGCATCAAGAAAAACAATGCCAAAATCTTGGCCCAACATAATGCAAAAATCGTTTACGAGAGACAAAAGCGTGCAACCTTTACCATCATGGCAGTGCTTATGGCACTTATCGTGTTCCTCTTGCCAGCAGTTATACTTCAAGCGTTCATTGGTCGATTGCACAAAAAAGGTAGATTAATGGCCATGAATTTCGCAATTTCAGCTCTGTTAATCAGCTCGTCTGCTAACCCTTTGATCTATTTGTGGAGGAGCCGAGAAATCAGGGCAAATTGCATGCGTTATTTTACGTGCAGCAATGTTAAGGCAGAACGCAGTATTGGTGAAGAGTTGCAGGAAAGAAGCTCGTATACAAACCATGCAGTAGAACAATCTACGTGATTGACCACTTGGGCGACTAACCACAAACAAATGAATTGAAAAAGACAATAATCCTTTCTTTCCTCCCAAGCCTCTTCCTCGCCAATATAACAAATATTGAAATTGGACTATTGTGTTGCTATTATATTTTGCTTTGTTGTATTTCAAAGATAATGGA